CTGAACCCTTTGGCTCTGGAGTCCAGCACCCACATTTCACAGAGGAGAAACCCAAGGCCCAGAATGGCTAGGGATTGGGCCCAGAGTGGTCACGGGTCAGTGGACTCAGGTCCTCTGACACCTTCTCCAAGCGTCTTCCCAATGGTCACTAAGCCCTTAGGTCCACAGGCAACGAACGGGGTTGAGTGAGGTGACATGTGAGGTGAGGTGACATGTGAGGTGACAGACACATCTGCCTTCTGGTCCAAGGACTTGACCTTTGCTTCTAAGCACTCTTCCTGGGTTACCACACAGCTTCGTTGTAAGTCTGTTAACCAGAGGTGAACACACTTCTCTGAATGCCCAATGGGCTGTGAAGTGTGCCCAAAGCCCATAAAAATATAATTCAGGTCATAAATTTAATACAGCCTGGGTGAATGACTGTACTAGCTCTATTTTTAACCACTTAATTAGCAATGGTTTCATTTAAATTTTTTTGTTTTGTTTTGGATATAAAAGGTTTTTAAAGAAGAATTCTCAAGATCCATTGTTTTTGATGTCAAGAAACGCAAAGCTATTCAAAGAGTTCTGAACAGTTGCCTTCCTTCAAATCCTTACAGCAAGAATCTCACCCAGGACAAAGCCTGTGGTTGTTTAGACGGTTTATAAAAAGTTTATTGCTAGACGGAGCAGCAGGGATTGCTCCAATTTAGACTTTCGAAATAAAATTTGTTTCAGTGCACATTTTGATTCATTTTTGGGAGGAGAGGGCGTCGCTCCACCAGCCTCTGCCTACGATTATCCCCACGGAGGCAATACGGGAACTCTGACAAGAAGAAGGAGCTCTTCTTACTGGCGTTGGAGGGGAGGGGAGGGGAGGCCAGGTGTGAATTAGGACAGTCAGTGGTGGCAGTGTGGTATGGGATTGGTAGGAGGGCTCCCCACTTTTGAGGGGCTGGGTGAGAAGGAGGCAACACTGAACGTGGAAGAGCCCGGGGAGTCTGTGAACCATGAGGACCACATGACCCCACAGCTCTGATGATGCTCCTGTTTGGATCCTGACTAGGGTGGGGTATCTGACGACCTGGTTCTTCTAGGTTTGAGTGACTCCGTAGGAAATGGACAGTGCCCAGATCTGGCCGGGGAGAATGTGGTAACTGTATGGCTGGAAGGAGGCCTGGGGATGGAACAGCAGTGCTGTCCATGGATGACAGTTTTCTCTGTATGAATGAAGGCATGGGACCACACATACGTACCATGTTAGCCAACAGGGCACAGGTCTCCACGAACCTTTACGATGCCTGCAGGAAAAGCTGAGTTGATGCAGCTGCAGAGCCACCATGTAGAGAGCAAATCCACAATACGGAATACAGTTTTCTGGGCCAGAAGGCTGGGCATGGCAGTACATGTCTATAATCCTCACACTTGGGAGCCTAGAGCAGGAGGACCTTGAGCTCAGTGCTAGCCTGGGTTATGGGACCCCATTTCAAAACACCCAAACACACACACACACACACACACACACACACACACACACACACACACTCACAATTAAAATTAAATTACAAATGTCACATATGTCCACAGCAAAAGGAAAAAGAAGTGACTTTCACTCATTACCAAGTTCTATGCTGGTGTTTTCCTTCATTGATTTATTGATTTGTTTTTCACCAATTACTGCATTCCACAAATGTATGACAGATGCCTGCTGGCCACTGGGCCCGGCCCACCCCTGTCCTCATTGTCCCTCCGCCTCTGAAGCTTGCACACCCTGCTTTTCCCAGAAGCCGACATGTGTGTCCTAGAATGTCCTCCTTCTGGGACTGTCCTGCAGAGGAAGGGAACTGCCACTTAGCCTTTCCAGGAACAGCCAGTTTGACTAGGGCCCTTAAAGCCAGCAGTCCCATGCTTTTCTTTCAGAAAAGGGGGCCGAACAGAGCCCACACTACTAAAAAATGAACAGGTTAGGTAAGACGTGAAGGGGAGGCTTGAGTCGAGATGGGGAACTGGGTCAGGGCCTGGGACTTGGACTGAGTAAGCAGTTTAGAATAATCGTTTACAAAGAAAGGCCCTGGAGGAAGAAGTTGAGCAAGTGGTTCCCGCTGGGAGCCTGCCAGGCTGTCCCACCTTTGCTCGCAGCCACTGGCTCTGTGGTGGTGCTCTTCAGAGCAGTGTCTTGGTGCTGTGACGGAAGCAGAAGGGGGCTGCAGGCAGTGCAGGCATGCTGGCCACCGTGGGACGTGACTGGCTCTACTCTGGGTTTTTGCCATTTTCAGCAATCAGGGGCTGAGGAGGAGGGCTGTGGTTTGTTTTATTTTTTGCTTTTAAAAACCCAAACACTTATTTAGTATCCTGAGAGTGTCTGGGCATTTATTCTGTTCGGCTAATGCACAGACGTTGGGAAAGGGAGACGAGCTTGTTCGAGGTTAGGAAGAGGGAACCCTGCTAGAGAGACACAGAGACGTGTGACCATTCCCAGATCTTCAGGGACTATACAGGGGAGGCCACAAAGACTCAGCCAAGCTCACCACTGTAGTCCTGCACCAGGACCAGTCCACAGTCCCAAACCAAACCTCAGAAATGAGTTTTTGGTCACAGGCTTATTCCTGGGGTGACTATGCTGGGAGATGGAGGTTTCTGGTAAAGATGAATAGGACCTTGGCTCTTCTCTGCGTAAGTCTAGGGGCAGGTTCATTATGACATGGGGAACATTGTGCTGAGGAGGCTGTAAGGGACATGCTGCTAAGGCGGTGTGGATCTGAGTGGGATTAAGGTTCCCATGGACATAAACGTCAAACCACAGCCAGACCAAGGGTCTTAATTTCCATCTCACCCCTTTAATAATGCAAAAACATGCTGTATTTAAAAATACATCAAAATTATTTTTAAAAAGGTTAAATTAAAAAAAACACACATAGAAATAAAATCTTATGTAACAGCCGAGCTCCATACTTATAACCTCCACTTTTCAGTAGATGAAGAGGATTCTCCCCCAAATTGATTTTCACACACCACAGGCTGGGTCTAGAATGGGCAGGTGCTCAGTGGAGACTGGGGAGAGCAGAATTAAAATGTTTGTGTTGACCGGGCGCTGGGCACAAAACTAGGTCTCAGCAAATGCTCCCTACATGTTTATTCCTTTTCTTCACTTAGGGATTAAGACCCTCTGAAGCTGGCATGGCCTCGGCAGAGTCATACATGGAGTAATGGACAATTAGGGCGTTGCTGAGATATCCATAGATAATGACACATTTGGCTTTGGAGTGAGACTCTGAAGCTTTTAGCTCTATAGTTGATTTGCATGATTGTAATTATATAAGCTGGATTGGGAAAAAAATCGAGGAGACTCTTGGGCTGCTTCGTTCAGCTTCGTTCAGCATCTTTCACTGCAAATCAAACAGCTCAACACGTTCCCCGTCCTTATCTCTGTTCCCATCCCGCTGTGTGGTTACCACACAGGGCCAGGAAGGGGGGAACAAGAGGGTTAAATCCAATCCATTGAGTTTCAGTCATTAACTAGCACTGTATCCTGCAATGTGTTCTTCCTCCTCTGCTGCCTCCTTCTGTTCCTGTCCCTCCCCGTCTACTCTCTTCTCCTTCTTTATTCCTGCTCCCCTGCTTTCTATAGCCGAGGAAACCGAGCAACCGAGGCTCACAGAACGTGAGTTATACAATGCCATTTCTCTCAAACAGTGAAAGTGTGACCTAAGCCATCAAAAGAGAGACTAGCACACTGAGGTTGAAGGGAAAAGAAAATGCCTTTGTCTCACTCAAAGTAACAGCATTTAACATTTATGATAGCATAGTTACCAGAACATTGCATATCAATTTTCTACTCCATAGCTAAGGCAACGAAACCACAAAGTTTAATTCAAGGTCATATAAGCCAATAAATGGCCAAACTGGGATTTAAACCTAGAACCTCTGATTTTGCGTTGGTTCTGTTTTTCTGCAGCATCTGTCCCGTGCGTGTAGCCAACTAGAACAGGAGAGGCTGCCCGGATTCGGTGTGAACGTGCTGTGCAGCTGATGACCCTGCATAGACAAACTGGCTGGGTTTCCCAAAGCTCACCCATCTTTGAAGGCAGTGAAGAGCCTGCCTTCTCATTGCCTTCCGAATCACAAGGCAGTACGTGGTTTTTGAGCAAGAGTTGGTCCACACTTGGATCTCAAAGCCACATGGCCTTTGCGAGACTTTCACACGCGCCCTGAGTCTCACAGACTTAAGAACAGAACTCTTCCCCCTTCCACCCTTCATCCCCTCTGCTGTCACGCAGACAGCGATAGAGTTGATGGTCGTCCAAGTTCGTGGTGACAGGGCTGAAAAGGATCCCTTCCCTAATGCTTGGCCATGTGTATGTTTGGTGTGGCCTGGGAAGAAGGGGGCTGAGATGAGCTGATGAATGGCTACACTGTTGCAGCATGGCAGGCCAGTTCCTCTTTATAAGCAAAGGCTGATTCTCCACCACAGTTACCATATGTAGAGACTGTCCTCCCATCCCCCTTGGGCCACAGGGAAGCAAGAGACCTGGAAAGGTGGAGTGCGTGCTCTCAGAGTCTCAGATTCCACCTTCCTCCCCTGGTAAGCTAGATAGTAAGCCCACACAGGCATGGGTGGTGGCCAGCTTCCCATGGGTCGGTCCAGAACAGGGAGCAGCATTTTGCAGGACATTTTTTTTCAAGTTGAGAAACCCAAATCCTAATCTCTTCTTCTGATGATTTTACAAAAATCAAATTGCGTGACAGATGCGCAGATAAACAGGAGTTCGCAATCGAAGCAGGTTCTGGAGTAGAGCTGATTAGTAGATGTTTTAATGGCCATTAGGTTGATAATCACTCACCGAGAATAGCTTCCAGGCAGACCAAACCCATGCATAAGTGGGCCCACACCCAAGCTCACCAACACCTAGTTGGCAGGTATATAAGGGGACCCTGTGAGTCTCCCAACAGCACAGTTCAGTCTCCAGGATCTTCTTGGATCTTCTTGGATCTTCTACTTCCCTTGCTGAGTAAAAAACATCATGAGCTGTCAGATGTCGTGCAAGTCTCGAAGAGGAGGAGGCGGAGGAGGCGGTGGAGGATTCCGTGGCTTCAGTAGTGGTTCAGCTGTGGTCTCTGGAGGGGGCCGGAGATCAACCAGCGGCTTCTCCTGCTTGAGTCGCCATGGTGGTGGCAGAGGAGGCTCTGGTGGAGGTGGCTTTGGCAGTCAGAGTCTTGTTGGCCTCGGAGGGTACAAGAGCATCTCTACTAGTGTGGCTGGCTGCGGCAGTGGATTTGGTGGCAGAGGCGGCGGAGGCGGCTTCGGAAGCGGCAGCAGCTTTGGAGGCGGCAGCAGCTTCGGAGGCGGTGGTGGCTTTGGAGGTGGCTCTGGCTTCGGAGGTGGCTCTGGCTTTGGAGGAGGCAGAGGATTTGGAGGAGGCAGTGGATTCGGAGGTGGCAGTGGATTTGGAGGTGGCAGTGGATTCGGAGGCGGTGGATTTGGTGGAGGCGGCTTTGGTGGAGGCCGTTTTGGAGGAGGCGGCGGCTTTGGGGGGCCTGGAGGATTCCCTGGTGGAGGCATCCATGAAGTCTCCATCAACCAGAGCCTCTTGCAGCCTCTTGATGTCAAAGTAGACCCAGAGATCCAGAATGTGAAGTCTCAGGAGAGAGAGCAGATCAAAACTCTCAACAACAAATTTGCCTCTTTTATCGACAAGGTGAGTGGGAGAGGCCCGCACCTTCTGGGATGAGATGCTGGGCTGCGATGCTTGTGGTGCTGGGTGAGAAGGAAAGGAGAGACTGTCGGGAGTCATTGATGTGGCCACCAAAGTCAGGGAGGGGCCTTTGCGAATTTCAAATGGAAGAGATGCTGGCTTTGGGGGCCATACATTGTACAACGGTTTCTTCGCATTTGGTTTTTCAGTCCAAATACATACTATTTACAGAAAAATTTGCCATCGTAGAAAAGTTGAAATAGGCAAGTAGTGGCAGAGCATGTTGGGCCAGGTGACAGCAGGATTGGAAGGTGATATCGAGAAAGGGTAGGTTTTGTCTCTCCTGAGCGTTATTAGTCTAATACAGTCTAGGAATCTGTACTTGAAATGTTTGGGGCTGAATAGAATTCCAGCCCTCAAGAGAACCATCTCATTTTGGTGACCCATAAAGTCTCTATTGGTGTCACTTTGGGGTGTTCCTGTCTTGTTTCCTCTGCCTTGAATTAGACAGGAATTTACAAGGTTCTTAAAACTCAGACGGAGGAGCTCTGCCCACCCCCCAGGACTCTCCTATTTGGTGCCATCTGCGACTGGGCCAGCAGATGCCTGCTTTCTGTTTTCTCCAGAATTTATGGGACCTTGGCAGAGTCCTAGAATAGGGGAGGGAAGTGCCTGGAGTCTAGGGAGCAGCTGTGAACAAAATAGTGATCATGAAGGAGGAGAGTTCTAAGAGCCGAGAGGGACAGACTCAGTGTCAGAAGTCTGTACACGCTCTCCATGTGTGATGTTGGGGGTGGGGGCTCAGAAACCCTGCCTAGTGTTTTCCAGCCTCCCTTGGATGGCGAGGGTGAAGTATTGTGACTTCTACATCTCCTGGAGCAACACCAGAGGTTCTTGGGGGCAAGAGTGGCTCACTGGTGTGACAGGTGATCCGGACCTCCCATCTGACCACTGTAGGTTCGATTCCTGGAGCAGCAGAACCAGGTGTTACAGACCAAATGGGAACTTCTGCAGCAGCTGGATGTGGGCACCCGCACCACCAACCTGGACCCCATCTTCCAGGCCTATATTGGCATGCTCAAGAAACGAGTGGACAGTCTTTCTGCAGAAAGAAACTCGCAGGATTCAGACTTGAACAACATGCAGGATCTCGTGGAAGACTTTAAGAAGAAGTAGGTGACCAAGGAAACCCGAGTGGAGACGGAGTTTTGACTGAAGCCGTCTGTTCGCTGACCTCATACTGGTGCACCGGGGTGGTGTGGAGGGGCATCTTTGTGGGTTACAAAGGAGGCATGGTTTTGGAGCTTGCACATGCCTGAATTAATGAATAGAAAGCTACCTTCATGTTGAACTTTCATAGTTTTAATCTAAGCATTTAAAGAGAGTTTAATCTTCCAGTAGAAACAGGGAAAAGAGGGAGCTGGCCAACCAGAACCAGTCTAACTGCTGTTGTCTTTTGGGGGCTCAACAGGTACGAGGATGAAATCAACAAGCGCACATCTGCGGAGAATGAGTTTGTGACGATCAAAAAGGTGAGCAAGAGAATGCCCTGGGCAGGGTAGGAACAGAACTGCCTGACACCTCACTGTGTCTGGAAGGAGAGCCAGAACACCACTGTGAGTGCCCACACAGAGCCAGCAACAGGGAGGGCACACCAGGAGCTGCCTTTCTGAGAAGAACAGGGTCTCTGTGTGCTAACCTCCATAGGTGATTTTCCAATTTGCCTACTGTATTTGGGAGAGCACCTCCATCGATTACCCACTTAAAGAGCGTCATGAAAAAATGCCCACAGAAATAAGCACTTTATTCTTCTAAAAAGCAGAGGAGGAATGAGACTCTTTAGAATGTCTGCTTACTGATGAGTTATGCTGATGAAGGTTTGAGCTAGAAAACTGCCAAGTGTTAGCCCAGGTCCTGCAGGGATTCTAGAGAACAGTCCAGGTAAATTCAGGAGAGTTGGGATGGACAAGCAGGGTGGGAGGCGTGAGGATTGTAGAAGGACACCAAAGCCATCGCACCTCTTATGGGAACACACCATGTCTCAAGCAAGGGAGACTAGTCAGTAATGTTTGGCCCATTGCAAGCTCTCACGATGCTGGGGTGTATGAGCAGCTGATCTGGGCATGGCGCTCCCTACAAAGGTAGTTTATATACTAAGTGAGGGTCTGTGGAGATACAGCTCATCTGGAAGTGCCCTGGGATGCTGGAGGCAGCTAACTAACAGGCATTAGGTGGAGGCAGCAGAGAGAATACGGGACCCACGCAGGGGGCCATTCAAGGTGGGGCGTGTGAGTTGACTGAGAGGCCTCTGACTTCTCTGCAGGATGTGGACAGTTCCTACATGGACAAGACAGAGCTGCAGGCCAAGGTGGACATACTGACGCAGGAAGCTGATTTCCTGAGAACACTCTATGACACGGTAAAGGGAGCTGTCTCCAACAGACCCTGACTTCCCACCTTTCCCACCAAAGAAAAGTCCTTTCTAACTGTTGAAAAGCCTGCCGGAATGGGGTTGTTGATTGGCTGACTTCAATGCAGTGAGACCATTGCAGTCCTGTAAGCCATTTCCCTAGAGCAGGAATGGGGGAGAGGGATTTCTTCTTCTGATGTCATGTGAGGTTTGGAAATACCAGGTCAACTTTCCTTTCCTCCGTCCCTTGCATGTCCAGCTCCCTTTGGAAGAGAACGTCCCTGTGCCCATGTTCCCATTATACTCCAGAGGTTAAAATTCATCATGCCTCCTGTTCTCTCCCCAGCCCACTTCTGAGATGTGAAGTGAAACTTAAAGGAATCTGCCATGGACCAGGTTCTTGCTAGGCCCACTGGCCTGGTGGTAAGGGCATTTTACCAGGATGCCCATCAACACCTTCCTGCCAGCTTTTCCATCCTGAGGGTAGCCCTGTGGGGTTACTACTTTCCATCCCACTCAAGGCATGCTTAGTTTGAGTCTACATTTCCTCAATGTCAGGGAAAGGAGGCCTCTCTCTCTTTGTGGCTGTGGGCAGAACGTCATGGCTCATCACTGTGTGTGCGTGTGTGTTGTAGGAACTGTCTCAGCTACAACAGACTGTCACTGACACCAATGTCATCTTGTCCATGGACAACAACCGGAACCTTGACCTGGACAGCATCATTGCTGAGGTTCAGAATCAATATGAGATCATCGCCCAGAAGAGCAAGATTGAGACAGAGGAGCTGTACCACAGCAAGGCAAGTCCCAGGGATGCAGAGGGAGCCACAACTGAGCCTCACCCCTATCTGGGGCATGTCTGGGAAGGGCATCGGAATGTTTGTCTGATGGAAGTTGAGCATCGTTCCCAAGACAGTTCAGAGAAGGGCACTACATCCTCAGGGGCATGTGAGGTTGTTTCTTAGGTTGGTTGACCATCCCTGGCCTGTCATTGGCCCTCTTTAGCTCAGACTAAGCCTTCCTCAGACAGAACTTCCCTGTGAACTGTCTCCCCTTTCCCTCATCAGTATGAAGAACTCCAGGTCACTGCTGTAAAACATGGAGACAGCTTGAAAGAGGTCAAGATGGAGATCAGTGAGCTGAACCGCACAATCCAAAGGCTGCAAGGGGAGATATCACATGTGAAGAAGCAGGTGAGGCTTGGGGCTCAGGGTGGGTCCCCACCTCTGTCATCCCCCCCAAGTGTAGGAGAGAGATAAAGGGACAGAAGAGAAACTGAGAAGTTTACACCAATCCCAATCTCCTCCGGATCAATGCTATTTAAGACCTTTAGAGTAGTTCAAGACACATTCTGAAGTGAAGATCAGCAAAGGGAAAGAATTGATTGACTTAAAGGGAGTAACAGCAAATAAAGCAAGATCTTGTTTGGCTTGCTGTATGACTGGAGACACAGCTTCCTGTTCCATCATGGTGCAGCCCCTAGGCAGCAGCCGCGATGACTGTGTTCAGAGGGGCAGTGAGTGGGAGGAAGCTGGTCCACGTTGGACCTTGGCTTTGGAGCTGATTGCTGGGGCAGGGTCTGCTTAAGAGGTAGCAGAGTTCTGCAGAATAGAGTTTCTTCATTTGCACGTAGAACGGGATGGATCATGAGTTCTTGTGTTAGGAGGGTTGAAGGCATTGCAGGGAAAGCCTATGGATTCAGTCAAAGGGGTATGGGAGGGAGACAGCTTGGAGACAGCTGCTACAAGTCACAGCACAGTGGTCTGCAACACCTGTTAACTCCAAAGGGGGTGTCCCCAAGACTTCCAGGGCCAGTGATTCTGGTCTCCCACACCGAGTGTCTTGTCCTTCATCTCCTCCATCAGGCTGACCCTACTCTGTAACACAGAGGCCTTCTCTTCTCTTCTCATAGTGTAAGAGTGTTCAAGAGTCCATTGCAGATGCAGAGCAGCGTGGGGAGCATGCCATTAAAGATGCCAGGACCAAGCTCACTGACTTGGAGGAGGCCATGCAGCAGGCCCGGGAGAACCTGGCCAAGTTGCTTCGGGACTACCAGGAGCTCATGAACACCAAGCTGTCCCTGGATGTGGAGATCGCCACCTACCGCAAGCTGCTGGAGGGCGAGGAGTGCAGGTGAGGGGCATCGCTACAGCGGGTGTCACGGTGTACACTCTCCTGTCTCCTGGAGTCAGGGCAGGAGTGAAGGGAGAGAAGGCTGAGGACTGGGCAGGGCCTCTGGCTTGTGAGATTAGCATCAGTATGCTTCTCCAAGCAGACATTCAGGATGAGAACCATAACATTGTTCTCTTATCAGTAGAGAATGGCGAACAGGTCCTGTTACAAGATGTTAAACTAGGTGGTGTTTTAAACATCCTGGCCTTCTTTAAAAGAGAACACAAAATGACATGAACAGGTAGAGAGACTGAAGGGTGTATCTCTAAGTCTATAGGGTGACTAGCTTCCTTCCCCTCCATGGTTTGGCCCAGAATGGGGAGATGGCCTCAAATGTGTTGGACGAACTTTTTTTTCTTTTAAGGCCTTTAGAATGACAAACAGAATCACCTGACTACTCTAAAGAGGCGAACTTTCTTCCCCTGCCACCGGCATCCTTAGGGGACTTAAGGTGGAAAAGCCCTGGGTGTCAGTAGCTTGTATAACAAAGGAGCTGCCTTTCCAAGCCTCTGCTCTGTACATGTCTGAAAGGCAATGCCTCCTGTTCCCATGAAGGAGCTGGCAGGCACTGGAACCTGGGCTGGAACAGCCAAGGCTTTGGTGGAACCGGCAGGGACCTGGGAAGGGTAGGCAGCTTTAGAGAGTTTCAGTTCCTTCTGCTGAATGTTCATGGTGCAGCCTCATTTTGAAATGTTGGGTGTGGCGTGGACTCTGGATTGCAGATTCCCTGAGGTGGCCGTAAATACAACATGGGGTACACAGTCAGAAGTGACTCGGCCTTTCAGCCGCTCTGGATCTACAACGCAAGTGTGTGTTTTGATTGGAGCGAGATCTTGGGATGGATTGAGATTCAGGCTATAGAGATGCACGGGGTCTATCTGTCACCTCCTCTGTCACCCTCTGTCATCTGTCAGCATAGAAGGTGTGGCTGACTGAAGTAACTAAGCTGCACAGTAGGTGGAAGTTGTAAGACAACTTTGTTCATCCACACGGAGTCCAGATGCTCAGTCACAATTTTTTTTCCCTCCCTGACAGGATGTCTGGAGACTTCAACGACAACGTGTCTGTGTGTACGTAGTGGGGCATGCACCTGTTTTAATGGGGCAGTGGTGGGTAGAGGTGGTCAGAACTCCTGGGTTGACATCATCTCTCCCATAGCCGTGACAAGCAGCACCATTTCTTCATCCGTGGCATCCAAGGCTGGCTTTGGCTCTGGAGGTCAAAGTTCCGGAGGAAGAGGGTCTTATGGAGGAGGAGGAGGAGGAGGAAGCACCTATGGCTCTGGAGGCAGAAGCTCTGGCTCCAGGGGAGGGTCTGGATCCGGAGGAGGCGGATACAGCTCTGGAGGAGGCTCTAGAGGAGGATCCGGAGGAGGATACAGCTCTGGAGGAGGTTCCAGGGGAGGATCTGGAGGAGGATACAGCTCTGGGGGAGGCTCCAGGGGAGGTTCAGGCTCTGGAGGAGGATACAGCTCTGGGGGAGGCTCCAGGGGAGGTTCAGGCTCTGGAGGAGGATACAGCTCTGGGGGAGGCTCCAGGGGAGGTTCAGGCTCTGGAGGAGGATACAGCTCTGGGGGTGGCTCCAGGGGAGGTTCAGGTTCTGGAGGAGGCGGATACAGCTCTGGGGGAGGCTCCAGGGGAGGTTCAGGCTCTGGGGGCATAGTATCTGGCTCTGAAAGGGAGGGTTCTGGTTCAGGGGAAGGTTGTGGCTCCGGGGTGACCTTCTCTTTTAGATAGAGATGGGTCCTTTTCCTACGCTTTGATTCCAGAATGTCAGCTGTGTCTCTGTATCTCTAACTTGGGGAGCAACCCCAATTTTTGTAATCCACCTCTGATGGCATTTGTTGTTTTTGGAGAGGGGGTGATGAAAGACCTCTCATAAACAATTAGAGTCAGAGACACACACTGTGTTCTGGGGGAGAATCTGTGTTGTCCCAGTGTGTCTTCAACCCATGCCCCGTTCCTGGTCTCCTTGCACTGCCCATCTGGCAGTCCTTTCCAGATGGTGCTCTGCTGGGGACCCCAGGGTAGCCTCCGTCCTCCATCCCCCCAACAGTGGCCCGGGGAACTATGCCTCTATGTACATAGCCTCTCAAAGGGACTCTGGTTTCTGAGCGCTGTGGTCTGGGTGTCTGCATAATAAACTTCATTTGCAATTGATATTGTGCAGTGTCTATTGGATGCCAAGCTTTGGTGGAAGTGGGGTCCACAGAGAAAGGAGACTTGGGAGTGATAAAAGTGGGGCTCCTGGGGAAGGGAGGGGTGGCTGGGGATCTCAGGAGTTGCAGGTGGCAAAGTGGCAGCAGAGGAGGCTGAACATTCTTACAGCAGGGATGAGAACTTCCCAGACCACAGCCAGGTGGAGAGGCCTATGGAAGAAAGAGGGCGAGCTAGGGAGAGTCATGGCGGGTTGGTGGTGGTTTTATGGCACACCCGTGGTATAAACATGAACACAGCCATAAGCAGGCACTAGTTCCCAGACACATGGAGCAGGAAGGGAGCTCCAGCAGTGAGTGAATTTGAACTTCCACTTTAGCTAAGAAAACCGTCCAGTCCCAGGAGGAGGTGTGGAATCCTAACCTCCACCTGCCGGTTCACATTCTGTTTCTGGGCTTCAGCAGCTGAGAGCTACCTGGTAACTTTGGCGGGGTAGAGAGGTGAGGCAGGGCAGGAGCAGGCTTCACTCCCACCACTGTCATTCTGGTACTCTCAGTGACAGGCGTCTTAGTCCTTGAATTCGCAGCTTCTCAGCCCTTCCCCGGATTCAGCCCACTCAGACCCTAGCTGCTTTTATACTGGACTCTCAACAGCCAAATCAGCCCTGAATGAATGTTAATGGAAAGGTACAGCCCGAGGTTTTCAGAGGTTGGGACTGGGCAAGAGGTGAGCTTTGCGGAGGGACTCTTTACTCACCCCCTGAGTAGAATGGAGTAGAATCTGGTCATATTCTCTACTCCCCACCCCTGCCCTATTTCCATCAAGTTCAAAGATTGATTTGTCAAGTTATGGGCTTTAAAAGGCAGAGAGGTCCAGGCAGGATTGTGTGAATTCCATTTTCATAGGAAAAAAGGACAAGGATTTACTTACACTGTGATGATGTGAGGTTTTCGGGATACCTAGTCCCTCCCTTTCTCTGTCTATAATATCTCATGTAAATCCAGCTAGGTCTTTTGCTTACTCTTTCTCAGGAACTTCCCTTCCCATCAGCCTTCTGCAGGAGTCCCTCTGAAATTGAACACTCCAGTTGTAAAATGGCCAAAGCCTCATACCGGGAATGAGGTACTTGTGTGACATTGGGAGAACTGTTTTTTCCTCCCAGTTTTTATTTCTGTATGATTTCAGGGGGCCGGACTGAGAGAGCCTCTAAGACCCCAAAGCTCTTAAGGCAAGAACACAGTCTATGTGTCCTTCATTTTCCCAGTGATAATGGTTTGGGACTCTGAGTCGGTGAGGAGGCTTAAGACCAGTCTGAGCATGAGTGTGAGCATAGGCTGCTCTGATTTCTTCTCATTCTACTTAGACCAATGTCTCACACCATGATGGAGGTGAGGGACTGTGTTTGGCCACACAGAGACAAAGGCAGAGCATCCTGCAGGAAGTTCATGGTCTAGGTGGGGATGGGTGGGGGATTGACAAACAGCTGTTCTTACGAAGCGGATGTAGTCAGTGCAACGGCGACTCTGGGGTCTATTGTGTGTATTAAAGTCGTTTGGGTGCTTATTTAAAATACATGCTCTTAGTTGCAGCTCCCTGGAGTTCCCATCACAGGGGAGTGGGGAGGATCCTGGAAATCCACATGATTAATCAGCCCCAGGTGCACCTGAGTCTGTGGTGTGAGAACTGCATTCTGCAGGCTCTGTGTTGGGCTCATTTTCTGGTATTTTTGAAGTTTAGTGGGCTCTTAGTAAAAAAAAAAAAAGTAATGGTTAGATGAGAGACTGTAAGATCTTAGGTACATTATTTATCAATTCAGAGCCTGATTTTACACATTTACAAAACAATAAAATAGCATCTTCTTACAGGGCCATTAGAAAGATAAACACAATGAAAATGTTAAATGTCTACTTATTCTTTAGGGCCTGCACCCTCACCACATGCAGCAGGTGCTTCTTCTTCTTCTTCTTCTTCTTCTTCTTCTTCTTCTTCTTCTTCTTATTATTATTATTATTATTATTATTATTATTATTATTATTAGACAGTGTTGTGAGACTAAGGAAGCTTTCCCAGATGCCATGACTGTATATCCAGGCCCTGAAGGACATGTAGGATCAATTACAAAATAATACCAGTTCTATACAAACTCTACCAGAAGACAGAAGAGTCAATACCTTCCGTTTTGTTTTATGGGACCACACCAAGACATTGTAAAAAACCTAAACATGTTCACATCCCTCAAAAACACAGATTCCAAAGTTCTCGAGACAATATGAGCAAATTTGACTTAGGGGTATGTAAAAAGGATGCCACATCAGTTACTCGATTCACTCTCCAGAAATGAAAAGGAAAAACCATATTTGGTATATTGTCATATTATAGAAGAAAAACACTCACGGCCACCTGAACAAATGCAAAAACACCTGATGAAATGGAATGTTCACTCATCTCTAAATCAGACAGCTCGGAGTGAACAAACAAGATGGCGGGCACCTGCTGGAGACTCCCTGGCAGGTGGACGTGGGACTCAGTTTTTGGATTTGAACTGTGATCTTCAGCTTGCCAGCTCCTCCATCAGATTTTGGATTGTAAAACTTCCACAGTCACATGGGGCAGATGTGTGTGTGTGTGTGTGTGTGTGTGTGTGAGAGAGAGGGGGGGGGGGTGGGAGGGGGAGAGACAGAGACAGAGAAAGTTCCCTTATAGTAAACATTAAATGTTGAAGGTCTTAATGCTTTTCCTATAAGACAGAATGGTACTAATCTTATTTAGTATTATATTGGGGTTGCTAAACAGTAGAAAAAATCATAAAACATACAAGTTGGAAGGAGGAAACAAGGTTGCCTTTATTTATACATCTGACTAGTATTGACTAGCATTTCTGTGTTATGGTGACTCACACAAACGCTGGCAATATTTGTAACTTGATGATCTCCAAATATTTTATAACTTTCCATTGGAAGAAATAGTAGGTACTGCCTGAAAGTCTAGGAGCTCACCAGCTCCACACGGGGCACTCACTGTGTGCCCTTGGGCGCTTATGGATCCAGTACTTGATTCAAGTCTACACATGTGCATGGAGCGTGGAACCAGTTGGCCATGGTTCAAATCCTACGTCTATCTACCATTTAGTTGGTTGCATTGTTTTGGAAAAGCTCTTAATCTTTTGAACCTTACTGTCTACTTCTGAAACACAAAGACATTAGTAATTACCTCCTAGCACTGTTGTGAGGATTAAGAAACATTATCTTTGTCAAAAAACCTAACAGTTCTGGAATATAATGTTTTGTGGTGGTGTTTTGTGAGCTGCTGGTATTGCTGCAGATGGAAAGGATACAGACTGAAATATTTCTCTTTGTAAAATGTTAACACCATAGGGCAGGGACAATGGCTCAGCAGTTAAAAGCACCAGCTTCTCTTCCAGGGAACTTTGGTTTCATTCCCAGCACTCACTTGCCAGCTCACAACCATCTGTAACTCCAGTGTTTGGGGCTCAGATGCAGACTCCATGGGCATCAGGGATGCATGTGGTACATAGATAAACATGCAGACAAAACACCCATACACATAAATAAATAAATTAAAAATGATTAAAAGTGAACACTATTTCCATGCCCTGAGAGTTTTAAATAAGACTCTGGTTATGTAGCCAGAATGTCACTATTCACTCCACTTGACAGATGAAAAAAATTAAGGCTGAAAAGCTCACCATCATAGAACTAGAAAGTGTAGCCCTGGAACTGGACATTATGGTCAAGAGGTTGAATCCCTTCTCTTGTTCACTACACCGGCTGTCTTCTCATCTGTCTGGATCTCCTCCAGTGGCCAGGTTAGAGGAATTCATGTGGTGGGTGGGTTTCATAAAGAGCCTGGCTGAGTAGGGAGGACCCAGAATTAGGGTATCTTATCTTGGTCTGAGCCCATAGGAGACCATGTGGGAAAAGTTGTGCTGAACCCTGCCAAGTGTGTGTGTTATCTCAAGTGGCTGCTGCCAGGTTTACTGTCTCAGGAAAAAGAGGAGAATTAGGGCTAGAGATGAAGCCATTGATCAGTGAGATAGCCTTACTTTCCTGGCCTGTGTAATCACTGAACAAGAAAAGCCCAGGCCCAGAATACTCTTCAGTCAGCTGGCCACTGAGTGAGCAAAAGAGTCAGTGTTCTAGACCTGTCTTGTTATACCTGCCCCCTCCCTTGTGTATGTATGTATGTATGTATGTATGTATGTATGTATGTATGTATGTGTGTGCATCTGCTTCTGAATACATGAAGGTCATGGCCTCAAGCGTCATTTCTTAGACTCTTTCCACTTTCATGGAAGGGAGAGAGATAGAGAGAGCCAGATCCCATTTACGGCTGAACACTCAACAGTCAATTTTTCTCAGTACTTGGACAAGTTATGAGTCTCTGTGTTTATCTCTGCCCACTGTAAGAAGAAGCTTCTCTTATTGAGGCTGAGAGCAGCACTAACCTATGGGTATTAAAATCAACCTTTGAGAGAGTTTGACACCATGTCTCCTTACCAAAGCAACAGTAGTAGGTTTTCTCCACTTAGGACCTATGACCTCCCCATATGTGGCCTTTTA